TATGTGTGGGTGGGGTGGTTGACAGTATTGAGATGTTGAATTGTTTTGGAAACTAAGCAATGGTTCTTGTGGTGCATGAAATTCGTAAGATGGTTGGGTACTTCGATGGTGTGATGTTTAACTGTATGTAGCTTGGGTGGTATAGTAGAAAGGAGATGTATCATATGTGTCTTGGGTGTTGTGGTAGGATGTGGAGGGTGCATATTGTTAGTGGTGGGTCGGCTCATGCTCTTGGTATTGTGTTTGTGTGTCTGGAATGAATTGATGACGAGTTTGGTTGGATGTGGTGGTGTATGGTTATTGGGTTTGAGTGGGTTGACATTGTTGTTGGGTTTGATATTGATGAGGGGTTGGATGTTGGGGTTATTGTTGGGCATATGATGCAGCTCTTTGGCGTGGGTCGATCAAATATGTCTCATGAGACAGAAACAAATTTGTTGAAACCGATGTGTACCATGTCAAATATTGGAGAGTTTGTTTTAAGTCATCTTGCAAGATCGGCTCCCTTAGGATAAATTCACATCGATGCCTCCATTGATAACACTGATTTATAGCAAAGTCTCTCAAATCAGTAAATCCCCATTGGTCGTCAACTCGGAGTAGATGCCATTGTCCCAAACATGTAGGGGGTCTAGGATACCCTGTTACATATCGAACTGTAGCTTCACACGATCACTATGGTGCATCTCCACAATAGTGAACCTGATGAGCGTTGTTTTTGCAGTCCAGACTTCAACATATGTTGGGTTAATCTCATGGTCGAGATCCTTATACGGTCTCCATACAAACTGTAGAGGAAAAAGAAGGTTAATCTAATATTAATATTAAACTTAATTAACCTATTGAAAGCGTTGTATAAAATATGTAAGCTTAATACCTCTTCGGGTCCAACATGATCAATAGGATTTCAGTAGACTATTATTGCGTTTCTAGGAGATTTATTGTAATTCATCCTAGGAACAGACCACCTACATAGAAAAAATGGGTAATAAATTAATACATGTTGGTTATAGTATATAGTATGTAAAATTTGTGTTTTTGTAATCTTACTTTGTAGAAAAGGGGAAGACGAATGGCCTTGTGTTGCGGGGGCGAGTGTCAGCATTCTGGACCAGCACCATGTCTGGAGCAAAAAGGCGCAGGAATAAAAAGAACAGTTTTTGTTCGATGCGTTTTTACACATGGAACTATACATATGGTCCAAAACATCAGAGCCCTAACTATATGTGTTTATTTTATCAAAATGTCTTAACAAAGGTAAATACGTGATATTAACAATATTACCTATTGTTTCAGGAAATAGAAAGTGACCAAATAATATCATTATGTAACACCGAGCTTTCACAAGTTTTTCTTGCTCGGTAGAGTTTTTGGTTATTACGAGACTACTATAATATTCTCTAAGAAGAAGGATATTAATACCTTGGCCTCTAGACCCTTGTTCAAATAAACAGGCTCCCAAAAGTTCCTCGCATATGGCGTTGTCTTGGTTGACTCGGCCATTGATAACCTTACCATCGACCGGTAGACCGAATAACATGTACACGTCCTCTAGTGTGACGGTACACTCATCACATGGAAGATGAAAGGTGTGAGTTTCGGGTCTCCATCTTTCCACCAATGAGAGAATAATTTTATAGTTAACATGGTAATTGACTATGTTGAGTAACGGACCAAAACCGGTTTGTTGTAAGTATGATTCAATTTGTACATCCTAAGGGACATACTCATGGGCACGACAACGAAATCTTTTAACATCCTATTAAAAACATGAATTATGTATAAGAAATATAAGATTTACGTATAAACAAGTATTGAAGAAAATAAACTTACAAAGGTTTCAATGTTATTAAGAGTTCCTCTATTTGATCACCCTTGGTCAAGAGAGTCATTTTTTCTTGGTTACTCTTGTGTTCTTGTTGATATTTCAAGAAAAAAAATAGTATGTGAGTTATGATTGTGATGGACATATAGGGTGAATGTTATATGTAATTATAAGAAAATATAGATGACAACTATGTATTCACGTGAGAATTTTCTACATGCAGGTAACACATAGGCGCCACACTAGGTGGCGCATCCTTTTGTTTTTTTCACTAAGGCTCCATTCAACATGGCTTGTTACTTTTTCCATGCATGCAAAGCTGCAGCGTGACAGTGATCAGATGACATGCATGCAAGACTGTCGTTCACGTGACAAGCCACCCTAGGTGCCGCATGCTCATAAAATTTGGAGGACAAGCCACCCTAGGTGGCACATATGTTGTATTATTAAAAGAGAAGCCATCTTGGATGGCGCATTAGTGGTATACACGCCATACTTTCATCAATCTATTTAAGCGTCTGTTTAGGGTGTATTACTGGTATGCATCCATAATTCACAAAAAATATACCTCAACATATGGATCATTCACAATATTATAGTATTGTTGTTCATATTAACGGTGAAACGTTCAACTGCGATAACTTTAGTTTTAATTTTCGTAATACTGGTTTTATCCGCTTTCGGACAAACAAGAAAACAAGTTTTGCACGCTTCAAAGATAGACTAGAAGCAAATTTGCAGTATGGTCTACTTTACCAAATTCTTTACAAGTCTCCATTTCTATTTGACAACAACCAAGTCAGATTTTATCAACTAAAGGTGCGCGATGATGACGATGTTCGAAACATGTTTCAAACTCATAAACAATCCGAGTTTAATGAGATTGAGCTGTATGTTTTATTACAATAACCTGATCAATCTCAGGTGGTAGATCTTTCTCAAGTTTTTAAAGAAGAGGATGAATCTGACGAGGACAACCACCCCGATGGGGCCACATGACAATAAATTTGGTGAAATCATTGAACTTTGTCTTCAAAGGCATCAGAAATCTACCAATTACTGCTTTGGTTAGAGTGACATATTTTAGAATGGGGTCATTGTTCGACACAAGAAGTTCAAAATGGAGGACAGTGTTACAATCATGGCAGTTGTTCAGTGAATGCACAATGAAATCATTTAACGAGGAGGCTGCCAAAGCAAACACCCATAGTGTCACCGTGTTTAACCGTATTAAAGGTTGGTTAAGAGACAATGGATCATAATGAGGGGAGGCCAATGGGATATTATCGGGTCGAACTAGATATAAGTTTGTGTGATTGAGAAAAGTTTCAAGAATTTTGCATGTCTTGCTCTCATGTCATAGCGACATGTTCGCATGTTCGCTTGGACCCAATACGATATATATCCCCTATTTACACAGTAAAGAGCATTTTAAGTGTGTACATCATTACCTTATTCGTGTTGGCAAAGGAGGATTATTGGCCTGCTTATCAAGGGGGCATTGTTTGGCACAATGAATAAATGTGACAGAAGAAAAAGGGCGCCCCAATAGAACTCGTATTAGAACTGAAATGGATACGGCCAACAAAATAATAAGATTATGCAGTGCATGCCATTTTCCAGGACACAATCAAAAAAATTGTTTGAATATTGGGTCTAGCTTTGCATCCTAATTTTTTTATAGCAAATTTTTCGGAGTAATTAATTTGTTATAAGCAAGAAATTTCAATTTAAATTTGGGTTTTTATTTCGTGTTCAATTTATCATTCGATTACAACAACCTTTAGATAATGACCCAAAATTTACAACACGACAAATTCAGGACAACAACACAACAACATGATAGGCAGACAAGACAGCTAAACACATCATAATATCTAAGTGATAAAAACCATCAACACAATATAGTCTAGTCCAAGCATCATCATTATGACATCAGCATCACATGTCACCTTTTTCTATGACCGGCTTATTCCATTTCAGTTCTTCAGTGTAATTTATCTTTCAATTTTTCTGATCTGTTCACTTTCAGGAATGTCTCCTTCCAATCAGCGAATCAAGTGTCTATAAAAATGTTCGAATGTCTGCGTGCTCTAGTGTTTGATCTACATCGGAGGCTTTGTCGTTGAAAAAATAACACGCGCATCTCTTTTGATCAGTGAAAACCTAAGCAAGGGAGTAAAAGACATTTTCTAAGAGATGATGTGAGAAATGGTGTGAAAAAATGAAGAAGATGAGTGATTCTATTTATAGAAAATTATATACAACTGTCAAGCCACACAAGGTGGCGCATCCTCTCTAATTATATATGTATGCGCCACACTGCATGACATTACATAGGAAGACAAGCCATACAATGTGACGCCTCTTCTCTATTTTGTATGCATGCGCGACGCCTCCTGTGTGGCAAATTTTTTTATTTAAAAAATGGTTACTTTAGTAAATATTTTAAAAAAAGTGATTATTTTAATTTATTTATTTTTTAAAAGTAGTTATTTTAAAAAAAAATCACATTTGTCTCTATTTCTCTCTAATCAACCATTTTCTCACACTTAAATAATTTATTTTATTCATTTATTTTTACACCAAAGATATCAAAAGTGAAAGGTAGCCAATCCAAATCCGGAAACTTCAGTACTTTTAGTGAAGTATTTATTTTCAACTACATTTTTCCATCCACAATAGCTCAAGTAGTTTGAGCTACAGTTGAAGTAATTAAAGGACTAGCTAATGTTTGTAAAAATAATATTTGTTCAAAAAAGAAAAATCATTGATAAATGCCTCACGAATGTGTTAACGAAAAGGCCATTTAATAGTGTGACACAACGTCCATTTCAAAATGCCGGCAGCTTCTAACACTCCTATCGTAATTTTCTGCCCTTTGGCTCATTTCCACAGTTCCTCATTCATGTCAATGCCATTCACAACTCACAACACATCACAACATTTTTTATTACAAACCATTGCATCATCCATTTGGGTACAATGGCTTTATGTTAACATTGACCTTCATTCGTTACTTAATATTATACTCATTATTAATCAATCATTACTCTTTCGAATTCAGTTTTAGTCATCTATTTTTCATTTCACTATTTTGATTCATAATCAAACTCACTAACATAGAGAGATTCACTTCACTTCAAGTTCAGCAACAAAACAACACTGCAAAAAAATGAGCCTAAACCTCATTTGGTTCTGGACAGTATTCACCTTTCTGTTTCTGTTTTTGCTAATGACCAATTCCGAATCAGAAAATGTCCGAAAAGTCCTTGTCACCTTCATGCATAAACTTGAACCACCTCATCAGAATTCCATATCGGGTTGGAACCTCACATCAGATCCTTGCACGCATAACTGGCAAGGAGTAACTTGCTACACAAGCAACCAATACATTAAAAGCATAGTTCTTGAAAATCTCAACTTCACCGGTGTTCTAGACGCGACTTCTCTTTGCATTGCCAACAATCTTCAATTCCTCAGCCTCAACAACAATTACTTACATGGTTTTATATCCAAGGATATAAAAAACTGCAAGTCCTTGACACACTTGCTTCTTAGTGGTAACGAATTCTCTGGCAATCTTCCTCTTTCCATTCCTCAACTACGGAACCTCAAGCGCCTTCATGTGTCCAACAACCACTTCACCGGAAACCTTCCGAATATGGTTAATGTTACAAGCTTGATATCCTTTCTAGCTCAAAACAACAACTTCACTGGTCAGATTCCAGATTTTGATTTCTCAAACTTTGAAGCTTTTAATGTCTCTAACAACAATTTGCGCGGTTCTGTTCCTGATGTTGAAGGTTTTTTTAGTGCAGATAGTTTTTATGGTAATCCTAATTTATGTGGAAAACCAATTTCAAACTCTTCATGTCCATCACCACCTCCACGGCCTCCTCCTCCAATTGTTAAGAAAGACAAAAGTAAAAATGCATTTATCGATGATTTGCTAATCTATTCAGGTTACATAGCTCTTGGTTTAATTTTCATTATTTTCTTGATCTTCAAGTTGGTAAAAAAATTAAAAACCAAAGATAAAGAAAAAGTGTTAAATCATGGTGAAAAGAAGGACATGTCACAAGACATTAGTTTTGTTGGTGGTGGTGAAAAGCTTAGTGAGATACTGAATTCCAATGGATCAAAGAGTTGGTTCAATGGCCTTGGAATAAAATCGGAGTATTCTATGACATCTATGGAAAGTGGAGTGACTACTTCAGGTCTTGTTCTTCTTTCAAGTAGAAAACTTAGGGGATTGCAGTTTGAGGATTTGTTAAGTGCTCCTGCTGAATTGATTAGGCGAGGAAAACACGGAAGCCTCTACAAGGTTATGCTAGATTATGGAGTGCTTTTGGCTGTTAAGAGGATCAAGGATTGGGGAATTTCGAAGCATGATTTTGAGAGAAGGATGAACTTGATAGCTCAAGTGAAGCATCCTCTTGTTATGTCACCGGTGGCGTACTATTGCTCTCAGCAAGAGAAGCTTCTGGCTTATGAATATCTTCCTAATGGTAGCCTCTTCATGTTGCTCTATGGTAAGTTGCTCTATCTATAAGCCACTTGGTTAAAATGTTGGCCTAAATATACATGCTTAAATTGAAACTTAGCCCCGAAGAATATATGTAACCAAATTTCGAACTTCAGGATCTCAAAGTGGACACTCTCTTGACTGGAGGAGCAGACTAGATGTTGCTGTAAAGATAGCTGAAGCTATGGCCTATATGCATGAGGAGCTTGGTGAGAGTGGAATAGCACATGGTAACTTAAAATCAAGTAACATTCTGTTTGACAAGAAAATGAATCCGCAAATAAGTGAATATGGTCTAATGGTGGCGGAAAACCGAGGAGTGATTTCTCATAGAAAAAGCCTCGGAAACAGAAATATGTCTGCAGCAGCCACCTTCAGAGGCGATATATATGCATATGGTGTCATACTTCTCGAACTCCTGACGGGGAAGGTAGTTAAAAATGATGGATTTGATCTGGTTAAATGGGTGAATTCGGTGATCAGTGAGGAATGGACGGCAGAAGTTTTTGACAGGTGCTTAAACTCACAAGGTGCTTCAGAAGAGAGGATGGTGAACTTGTTGCAGGTGGCGTTGAAATGCATAAATCCTTCTCCAAATGATAAGCTAAGTATGAGTCAAGTGGCACTCATCATAAATGCGTTGAAAGATGAAGACGACAAATCCATATCTTTTGAGACATGATTCAGAGTTTAATCATCGTATCATATACTAGTAGTATTAGATTTCTACAGTTTAAACATGAATAATGCCGCCATAAATTGATGAGTAAGTATCAAATGAATAGAGGAAATGAGTGTAGCAACTATGCAGAAAGCAACAGTTTCTAAGAATTAAGAGCAGGGTTAGTTCTGCAATAAGAATTTTCAATTGACATTCCAAATCTAAGATTAATTTTTATTTTAAAGTCCATTTGAACAACCAAGATTTATTACCATTCAAGAGATGAAAAGAATGGTACAAACATTGAAGTTAATATTTTAACTATTCATGACTTTATTTTCTCAATGAAAAAAAAAAAAGCCTAAAAATATCATTATACAATTTTGTTCAAATCTATTTTAAAATGAAATAATTACTTTATCTATTATCACTACGAAAAAAACAATTTTTGGCAGCGCATCTACGAAAGCGCTTTTAAGAGAAAGCGCTTTCGTAGCCTTTAAAAAAAATTCGCTTAAAAAAAGCGCTTTTATAGGGTTTCCTACGAAAGCGCTTTTCAGAAAGCGCTTTCATAGGTATTTGAAATATCTAACCTACGAAAGCGCTTTTGAAAAGCGCTCTTATAGGTGGCCCTATAAAAGCGCTCTGAAAGGGGGACCTACGAAAGCGCTTTCTAAAGCGCTCTTATATGGGGGACATACGAAAGCGCTTTTTACCTCAGAAACGCTCTCATATATGGGTCTTAGAAAGCGCTTTTAGAAGCGCTTTCGTAGGTTGTTTTATAATTAAATTAAATATCCCTAAATACGAAATTTGCCCTCACTTGTTCATTTCTTCGTCTTCTTCATTTCTTCTTCGTGTTACCGTTCGTTTCTCTCATTCCTGCCGCCGTTCTTGTTCCTGTTCGTTTGTTTGTCGCCGTTACTGTTCGTCTTCCTTGCATTCCGTTCCTGTTCCTGTTCGTGTTCGTCCCATTGTTGCGTTTCCAGAATCCCATTGCTGCGTTCGTTCACTGCTGCTTCGTCTTCCTTCGTCGCCGTCGTTCTTCCCTCTTCTTCAGTCGTCGCCGCCGTTCACTGCGTTCTTGTCCATCTTGGTAAGTTTCTTCTTCTTCCATTATTTGTTCCGTTATTTGACCGTTTAGTTATGCATGTTCTGGCCTGTTCCGATTTCTTCTTCCATTATCTGAGTATTTCTAGGGATAGATAATGCTGTTAGTATATGTTTGGATTCTTGTTGGAAAACACCAACGTTATGATACAGGAAGAAACTTACGCACATTTTACTTGTTGTGCTACAGTATGTTTAATATTGGTTACTCTGGATTGTTTGTAGTTGATGACACTCCAAAGATGTTATGTGGCCTGTCTTGATTCCATATACTGATTTTTAAACGCACCCGTGTCATTCATTATATATTCTTGCATGTTTACCCAATTTGGCTAACTTTTGAAGATGATACACAATGGTTCTATAACTTCTTAAAGATGATAATTAGAGAAACTGAAAATATGAGTTAAATTTTAAGTACTTTCTTGACTTTGGCCCTACACCCTTCACAGTTCATATTAGTTTTACCTTCAACTTTTTTAGTTTGGTCATCAAATGACACTTGTAGTCTTTGAATGTACTTAAGTTACAAAGTTGTTCCCGTAAGTTTGAATTACATTCATTTTTTAGTTTGGTCATCAAATGCCTCCGGAGATTGTAAGGTAAAAAAACATATGAAAATGGATATAAAAGTCCCTTACATGGCATCTTTTCAAATATCTTTTAGTTATAATTGTTATTTCCCTTTTTTGTAATGCTTTGTATTTATAGAATTATGTATATAGAATTATGTATATTTCCCTTTTTTCAAATATCTTTTAATTATGTATTTACAAATCTAACACTATCCTTTTTCTACTTATTTTTTGTTTATATGTTTCTTATTTGTGGGTTGATGTATGTTTTATTTCTCCGGGTGCATGCTACATAATTTTGGTGGTAACATTGAAATGGTTTGTGTTTTGGATTATATTTGTGGGTTTATGTTGACTTTGTGAATTCACTATTTCTAATATTTGTGTTGTATTATTGTCATAGCTTTCCCAAACATTGAAAATATATATGTGACATTTATTGTGAACCTTTATGTTAAAATAGTATATATCTTTCGACAATCGATCTGAAATATTGAATAACATTCTATGAATTTGCAGCGTTTCCCGGCCTAGTTCGACGTACGACGCTCATTCTTCGCGTTTCTTAGAGTTCGAAACATCTGAGAGGTAACTTTCTTCCTCAAATTACTGGTATATATTGTGATGAATTTGTCTTAAATTGTCTTTCGTATGTTGCATTTTCTTGATACGGATTCATTCCGTGTATACTTTGCATTTTGACAGAAACGTAGTATACTACTGTTTTGTGCACTAATTAGTTGATATGGATAAGACATGGATGTATTCCAATCAATTGTCGAAAGACTACGAGAATGGTGTTTCCGAGTTTGTTAAGTTTGCTGTTGCGCACGCCAAAGACCCCAGTCGTATGACATGTCCCTGTTTGTATTGCTGTTATGGGAACCGGGTTGACGCATTTCAGTTGGCATCGCATTTAATTCGGTATGGAATTGATAGGAGTTATACATGTTGGAATATGCATGGTGAGAAAAGTAACGGGAACGTTGAATCGGGGTATGCAAGGACCTATGTTTCAAATGATGATTGCACAGATACATACGATTATGATCGAGTCGAAGAAATTGCAGAAGCGCTTGAAGAAGATCTTAACGATTGTCCCAAAATGTTCGAGAGGTTGGTAAGCGATGTAGAGAAACCGTTGTATAATGGTTGTACAAAATTCACAAGATTGTCTGCGGTGTTAAAGTTGTACAACTTAAAAGGCGGCAATGGATGGTCGGATAAAAGTTTCACAGAGTTATTAGCCCTTATGAAAGATATGCTACCAGAGGATAATGTTCTTCCCAATCGAACGTATGAGGCCAAAAAGATGTTGTACTCCATTGGCATGAGCTATGATAAGATACATGCGTGTCCAAAAGATTGCGTTTTGTTTCGAAACGAGTATGCATCGTTAAATGAGTGTCCTAAATGCGGTGCCCCTCGATATAAGAAAAAGTTGTCTCCGGCAAAAGTCTTATGGTATTTTCCTATAATCCCGAGATTTAGACGGATGTATCGTAGTGAAACCGATTCAAGACACTTGACTTGGCATTCAGATGAAAGAATTATTGATGGAAAATTTCGACATCCGGCAGATTCTCCACAGTGGATGAAAATTGATAATGATTATCCTGAATTTGGAAAAGAAGCAAGAAACCTTCGCTTGGCATTGTCTACTGATGGAATGAACCCACACGGTATTCAAAGTATCTCGCATAGCACATGGTCTGTGATTCTTATGATTTATAACCTACCTCCATGGCTATGTATGAAGCGTAAGTACATGATGCTGTCTATGTTAATTTCTGGGCCTAAACAACCAGGAAATGACATAGACGTATACTTGGAACCATTAATCGAAGATTTGAAGATTTTGTGGGAGAATGGTGTGGAGGTTTATGATGGTTATAGGAAAGAAAGTTTCAACTTGAGGGCGATGTTGTTTGGAACAATTAACGATTTTCCAACATACGACAATCTATCCGGGTATAGCATTAAAGGTGAAAAAGTGTGTCCTGTTTGTGAAGACGGAACCGATACCATGCGATTGAAACTTTGTCAGAAGAATGTCTTTCTCGGTCATCGTAGATTCTTAACTTCTAAACATCAGTATCGTGGATGGAGAAAAGCGTTCAACGGAGATACCGAATAACGTAGAGCTCCGCCTGGTTTGACAGGTGATCAAATTTTTGAAAAGGTGAAAGATGTGAATATTCAGTTTGGCAAGCCTTTTGCACATAAAGTTGTCACAGGTGGGTGGAAGAAGAGGTCGATTTTTTTTTAATTGCCATATTGGAAATCTTTGTACGTAAGACATTTTCTTGATGTGATGCATATTGAAAAAAATGTATTTGACAGTGTTATTGGTACGTTACTCAATATAAAAGGGAAGTCTAAGGATGGCCTTAAATCAAGGGAGGACATGGTAGACATGGGAATAAGAACTGAACTGGGACCCGTGAAGAAAGGAAGACGGACATACCTACCACCTGCTGTTTACACTCTATCTAGAAAGGAGAAAAAAATATTGTGTAAGTTTCTGAGTGAAGTTAAAGTTCCAGAAGGCTACTCATCAGATATTAGAAGACTTGTGTCTATGAAAGACCTCAAGTTAAAGAGTTTAAAGACGCATGATTGCCATGTTATAATGGAACATTTTCTACCGATAGGTATACGTTCTATTCTGCCAGAAAAGGTAAGAAGCGCAATAACTAAATTGTGTTTTTTCTTCAAGTCAATTTGCAGTAAGGTGATCGATCCTGAGATCTTGCCAACATTGCAAAAAGAAATAGTTGTTACTTTGTGTGAGCTTGAAATGTATTTTCCTCCCTCGTTTTTTGACATAATGGTTCATCTTGTCGTTCATCTTGTGAAAGAGACACAATTGTGCGGACCAGCTTATATGAGATGGATGTACCCTGCTGAACGTTATATGAAAATATTAAAAGGGTATGTGAAAAATCGGAGTCGACCAGAGGGTTGTATTGCCGAAAGATACATTGTTGAAGAAGCGGTTGAGTTTTGTACTGAATATTTGTCAAATGTTCAATCAATTGGACTCCCCAAATCTCATGTTGTTGAAAAAAAAGAAGGTAAGAAGCTAATTGGAAATAAAGTTGTGACAGTATCAAGGGTCGAACGGGATCAAGTGCATTTGTATGTTCTGCACAATGAGATTGAGGTTGAGCCGTATGTTGAAATACACAAGGGTGTTCTTCGAGGTTTAAATTCGAATAGAAATGAGAATTGGATTGTACGAGAGCACAATCGAAGTTTCATACCATGGTTTAAGGAACATATTTATTCAAAGTATCGTTCAGATCCCGCCTCAGTGACAGAAAGGTTGAGATG